CGATAAACAGTGATGTACTTTATATCAACCAGTAAGAGAAGAGTAAGATATATTAAATACATATATTATTAAGATTACGTAACGTGATAACTGGGTTTTCAAAATCAGTCAAAATATAAGTGAAACATCCTCCTACTGTTGTTATAATCAGACAAGAAAAATAGTTGAAGACAACTTTTCCAACTACATATATATTCATGTATACATGGTTAACTAGATGTGAAATTTGTTATTTAACGTAGGCATCTCATCTTTAGCCAAAAACGCCACGTAAACTTCAACACCAACAGGTCAACAGAATCATGGCTTGTTACAAAGCGAGAGGAATTTTGGGCTAAAGAAGGCTTGAGGCTTTGGAAAAATCTATAATATGCGAAGAAACTTAAAGTATGTGGAAAAACAAAATTTCTTAAGCCAGTGTTATGAAAAAAATTGTTTGGCAAATCTCTCCTAAACGATCTAATCCCAACATTGGTACTTATGTGGATGTTTTCATTAACTCAGTGATTATTATCCATTTTTCTCCTCCTCTATATATCATTGTTCTGACATTTGCATATTATATGTTGACTTAATCCTTATTGTTTGTCTTTGTCACTGTTTAATCTATAGCTTTAATGCTTCTCTTCCTGGATGTGCGATACATTAATAATATGTCGTTTTATGATTTGATTTTGTTTGGGTGCATGAATACCCCTCTGACGGTCAGGGTGGCCGAGTGGTCTAAGCGACAAACTCAAGTGTAATCTTCTGGGTGTTCTGGTCCACGATGTGGGTGTGGGTTCGAATCCCACCTCCGAGACACGCTTTATGTGTGCGTGGGTGGCACAGCCATCAGAACTCTCGCGATCATGCACATGGTTCGGGGTTCGATCCCCTGCCGACGCACACCTGATATCTCTGATCGGCCTGCAAAATTTGGGCTACCGATATCACATGCTGAAAATTCCATACTTGTACCAAAAATACTGTGTGGTTTCAAGCTATAATCAAAAAAAGATATTGGACTGTCTACAGGAACTGTTGGCATGAGATTCTTGAAGACAAAGTTTTGATCCCATCTTGTTGGGAATATTCTTCTCGATTCTGAGGTACCGCTTACAACTGAATTTCGGTTAATTAATTTTCTTCTACAGTACTTTTTTTGTGCTTAGAAACCTACATTACCTGTATAGCTGCTTAACCGCACGGTCGAAATAGTTTTCAGTTGTTGTTGTTGTTGAAAAGAATCACACACAGACTCCAATCATAACCAATCGTCTTTTTGCTGCCTTTGGAGCATTTTGTGACTGTGCATTTCTCAAAGAAGTTCCTGACAGCTTCAGAATAGGACGCAAGGATCACAACGAGTCGGTCTTATTTGCTACAGTCAGAAGTTTAGTTACTAGTTTTTTAGTCAGTCTGAAACTTCATCTGGATATTTAGAGACTCAAAACTACTGTTAACGCTTAGTGGTTACGATTAAAACGGAAAATTGAGGTAATTTGATTTGTGTGTTACGCAATCCTCTTCCATAATCTATTGACTCAGTTTATTCCTTTGTTATTGCTGCATTAATCTTCACTTTTATTTACCTTGTCACTCTTTGTCTCCAGCTTAAAAGACTGTTCTTTCCAAGTAGTTTAGTTTTGAATTGCAAATGAAAACAAAATCGGTATTCACGACTGTGTGGAATGAAATGCTCAAAATGTTATTCTTGCTAAGATTTTGCCTGTTTTCTTATTTCCTCAAATGATATTTTGATGTGGAGAGAATTCTCCAACAGTAATTAACTTCTGCATTACATTCATTAGTGTCGAATGTTTATTATTCTTATTGTCCCTAGAGGTTCGGAGTAAAACATAGGGCTACAACAACACATCATCCTGTTCTGTTCTCTATTGTTCTGTTCAGTTGGATCCACGATTGTCCATTGTCTGTCAACCGCTTCTCACCCCTCGATCTCATCCATGTCACCCTCGCACCGACGACCTACTCGTCATTTCCCATTCGGTTTTCCCTCGAGAGATGGCCTGGTGCGGGATGTCATAAGGTGGTCTCCTCAACGTGTGCCCAATCCATCTCCATTCTCTGTCATATATTTGTTGAACGATCGGCTCTTGGTTAGTTCTTTCCCATAATTTCTTGTTGCTTATTCATTCTGTCTGGCTACTTGATCTTCAATATGGAGCCAGAGAAGGCAGGTGTTGATAACATTCTGAGGTGGCCTGTTGGAAATACTTTTCGCGACGCGCTCGACAAGTTTCTGACAAATATAGAAAAAGTCACTTGACATTGGTGTTTAAAATTCGAGCTTCCTCCTCGATGCTGAGTCCATAAGATTTCTTGACCGATTTCACATTAATGTAGTTTTATCTTGCCTTTCCGATTCTAGCTAGCTTTGACATCTTCATCCATTCCGCCTGTGATTGAAACAATGCATCTTAGGCAAGTGAAGGAGATAACCTCTTTCAAATTTCTTCCGTTGATGGTGACTGGTGCTGTTTGTCGTCGCTATTGGTTGGTTATCTTCATCACCTCCGTCTTCTCTATATTCACCTGGAGTTCTGTCTTCGCTGCCTGCCTCTTTTGCCAGTTTGTTGATTTTCACCTGCCTCTAAGTCTTGGAGTTCTTGTGACATAAAACATAAATCTTCTCATCGGCCCTACCTCCCCAGGTATGATGTGCCTCATAATCCAGTCGACCACAACTAAGAACACCAACGGTGATAATAGGCAGTCAGCCTTGTATTACTCCTGTCACCACTTCATAGGCTTTGCTGAGCTTCCCGTTGTCAATCATCTGATATGTGGCATTGTAACATAGCTGTTGAGTGAGGTTGATAGAGATTTGTGGTGCTACCCCCCATAGTGTTGAACTGGTTTCCAAAGTACTTCTCGGTCAAGGATCCCAAAAGCCTTTACGATGTTGATGAAATTGAGGTAAAGATTTGACCGTCATTCTATGGTTTGTTCAACCTCGCCTAGATTACTAGGTCACTAGTATTCTAGCCGGTCCCAAGCCCGGATAAAGAGGGAGGGTTGGGGCGTGGTGCTAGCAACTCCACCCCCAAAACTTAACCAAATTGCTACTAAAACTTCAACGCACAAATATATTCAAAATTTTATGGTTTGTTCGATGTTGATGCTTTGAGTTGCAATTTGATCAGAACATAATTTGTCAATTGTTGTTATGGTTTCATTTTAATGTTTATCTACTTAAGTCTATAGCAAGTGTGGATATCTACGAATGGCTTAAAAAAGCTGAGATTGTCACTTTATGTATGAAGACTCTAGGAAACTTGAAGGTAAAGCATTATTTCATAAAGTACAGATATTGATAGTGTGTTAAACCTGACAGACAGAAAGTCGAATATTTAGTATTTAGCTAACACTTATTGTAGTTGACTTAACTATATTCTGTTACAAAGTCTTGCCTGAGTTTTAATTAAATGTCTGTTGGGGAAGCTTATTCGCTGTATCATAGACTTCAGATATAGGTTTTAACAATTATCCCATATATATTATTATCAATTACTTTATAATTTTACAAGTCAGAGTTAGCTGGTTTTCTACTACTACGAAGGTTGTCCCATGTAATTTCTTTTGCATATAATCGCTCCTGAGAGCAATTATTAATGAAGTGTCTTTCTAGATGGATTTAATCTTTTCATTTAACAGTAGTTCGCCATTTGTGGTGTCAGAAAGGCAATCATTCAACCAATGGTGTTCCTAATCTTTGACCGTCATACTAATAATCAGAACGAGTCCATGTTTTGCCCCGTTAATCACAAACGGGAGACAGGCGAATTAGACATCTCAAAATGCCTTTGGAAACAAGATCTCATCTCCAATCCAATGTTCAAACAACCTCACTTCATCTCAGCAGTCATCCACTAAATACTAATTTGTCTTCACGAGAGATTAATTAAGATAACCGAGGCCATTCTAGCACTAGCATCGGTGCTACAACAACAGCCTACTACGAGCCTCACTGATTATTCTTGTCAACCTGTGGCCCCTTCCTCCTACAGTATGTGAAGCCAAAGAGCTGTCAAGAAGCGTTAGGGTTCCATTAAGATTAGCTAATAGCCAAGTCTTTTTCTAATCAAAATGTAAGTTATTTATTGACAACTTCCTTCTGTGTGTTTAGTGTTTTTAGAGAAAGTATATATATATATGTATATATGGCACTAAGAAATCAAAAATAGGCATCTATAATATTGACCCCAACAAATCTTCAGATATAAATTCACATCTGTGTAGCCTTTGTGACTGATCCTGATTTGAATTATAGTTGTAGGAACGAAATCGCAAAATTATTGGTTCTGAATGTTAAATCAAACAACTCATATTTTTGATATTAGATAGTCGGAGGTAATCGGAAGGAAGCCTCGCTTGACCTAGGTTTCGTACTATTTGGCACTAACTAGTCAATAAGGTGTATCTGCAATCTTGAAGAAACTCATGTCCCTTCTGCGATTTGAACCCGTGTCACCCAGTGCCGCCTGCAGACAGAGACGTTACCACTGAGTTGTTTGGGCTCGTGATTGACCTCATGTAAGACTGTACTGGATACTTTTGACTGGATACTCGTCAGCACTAGTGTGGTGTGTCTAGTCCCTTGTTTGGTGCAGACTGAATTCTGTCTGTCAGGTTTGCAATGTAGCCAGCATTCTTGACTGGCAGAATTCAGTCTGCACGAAACAAGGGACTAGACACTTTACACGAGTTACTAACACTAGTGTCCAATCAAAAATGCATATGCTAATTCGAAACTGATTTGTCTTTTATGAATAGCGACCAAGATCTCAGTTCCAGTATAAATACATCAAGAAGATTAACTACATTTAGAAACGACATCTTGTTTTACCAGTATTCCCTATTATTGTTTTTACAGCTGATTAACTTGTGATTGGTCAATTAGGAATGACCCTGGGAAATTTATCCTATTCGCCGCTGATAAACGTACACAATCATATTTATCAATGTGTGATAGTAATTTGTACAATTTTTAATCTCTTAGAAAAATTATTCTTCACAAAGAAATGCGAGTATTATTATTATTACTATTTATTATTTTGAAATTAAATTAACGTTTAATAAAAAAAAAGAAAAGAAAAAGAAAAAAATATGCTTCAAAAATCTGATACAAATTTGCTACATCCAGCACTTGTTAATTTAACTACACAATTATTTCAAGATATCATTGAACATAAAATTAATACACCAAATTTTCAATGTCTTGGATTACAGTCAATTGATTATGAACAGAAAGAGAATCAAATTGAAGTTGTCCTACAATTTGACATTATCTCATCATCATCACCATTAAGCTCAGATGATTCTTTCATGAATGATTCATATACAAAGTGTAATTATACAGATATATTGATTAGATCTTCAAATCAATCCAATCGAGAAGAAAGAAAATGTAAGTGACTGTGTTTCATGTTTAAATTTTCTTAGGTCATTTGTAGTCAGCTGATTTGGTCCGATTAAAATGTGTGTATAATGCATACACATTTCTTTTTTCCTTCACGTTCCCCAGTGGAACACAGGGCTTCAAGCTAGTGGCTTGAAGTTTCTGTAGCAGTGTTTATTTTACAGGATGGGGTTGCTAGCCTCATGCCCGACCTTTCCTCTTCACCAGCATTATTTCTGGCTTAGCGAGGTAAAGGAGTGCATCGGCCGGGGATCGAACCCCGGACTATGTGCATGGTCGGTGAGCATCCTAACCGCTATGACACCAACGCATAATGTATACACATACCGATCGAAAACAGTTATTTCCCAACATGAACTTCTAAATAAGTTAAAGGTTTAAGCACCAGCTGACATGTGTCAGAGAACCATTGGAAAATCAGAGATTCCTGGAGAGCTGTTGTGTGTGTGGCGTGAAGCTCTTCAGCAGAAGGCACCAACAGGGATTCGAACCCAGTAGCTTCTAGTCACAAAGCCGGCTCGTAGGCCATTCAACGACTAGGACGTTAAATAAAACTGTTAACAAGGGTAAATTGGATGAATACCTGAAATTTCGTTAGAACTCACTCACTGAATGCTCGACATACAGTTTAATATGTGGCATGGGAAATATGTAAAGAGACAAATGATTACAAGGTAAATCATGTCGAAGAGAAATAAAAGGGTGAAAATGACTTAGAAGTCAATTTCAGGTAGATAAAGAGGGTGGGAGCGTACCATGAACTCAAAACTAACGTCATAATAAGCCAGAGTTCAGTAACATCACTTTAATGGTAAACAATTAGTTGCTAATTAAAAGTGGTTAATCAAGAGAGAGATATTAACGTAGTAGGTTCAAAATGACTACAATTTTCTTCTGCACAGGATACCTGATTCACATATCTTAGTGCTCTAAGTCTCTGTGATTGCAAGTATCCTCCTGTTTGTTTGTATATCAAAGCGACAGATGATTTGACAGCGTAATGACCACATCTATAACCTAAAAGATGTTTTGTTATAGAAATCATATGCATCTTGAATTCGGCTTGTTTCATTAATTAGCGCAAAAGATTGACCATGTGACTAAACAGTCACCCTTCTGTACGACGTATGTATTCGCCTGTACTCAAAGAATAAACAAATCAGAAGGCTATTTGTTTTAACCATTCATTATTGATTGATTGAGATTAGTGTCGACCAGTAGTGCTCGAGGTGATCTTAACAGCGCATTACCGTTTCGTTATAGGTGTACCTCGTTTGACTCAGCTCAGACAGCCGAATGGGTTAAAAAACAACCCTATTCCTGGTGAGCTACTCCGGCTAATCAATGACAACATAAGTCAAACTAATTTACGAACTGTGAAATTAGAAGAATACTGAAGCAATTAGCGAACCAATCATTGCCATGACTGCCTTTATGCTGATAACTTCCACACAGTATCCATTGCACTAGTAAATATAATCTATATTTTAGACATGTGTTAAACTATTTCTGATTAAATTTCTTTTATAATAACGTGAAGATGAATTCTTAAATACTAAACGCTACTTGACCCCAGAGTACATCCAGTTTCAATCAGAATAAAGTAAATGTGTCCTTCTTTCTTTCTGCCTACCAGTCATTATTTTTCATCAAATATGCTGCATATAACTCTGTTAATTTTGCTAATGATGACTGGAATTGGAACTCAAGATTCTCATTTGATCCTATTGAGGACCCATCATCTGGATGCAACTGCATCCCCAGTGAGTTATAGTTTTCCCATAGAGACTCATAGTCGCCAGTCATCGTTTAAAATGCCAAAGCATTATCCTCAAGGTCACTGGGCCATTTCCTGTTGATTAAAAATAGTAAACCAAAGTGTTAACGTGACAAAACAGGTCGAGAATTCTGGTTCAACATAATCAATGAGTAGGAAGCACAAATTAACTTGGAAACTAGTGTACATCCCTTTCGACTTAGTTTTTGATAACTTTGAATGTTTCATGTATGTGTAGTTAGTTAAAACATGTTGAAAATAAGCTGACTTTTCTGTAGTAATTATTATAAATATTATTACTCCCTTGAGTTCTGAGTGGAACATAGGGTTTCAGCAACACATCTTCACTTTGTCCTATCTTCTGACATCCTCTTCAGGCTGGACCATGATCACCCAAAATCTCTCATCTCCTCCTAACACGATTTCCTCCATGTCATCCTCACACTGACGACCCACTCGTCGCTTCCCACTGAGGTTCCACTCAAGGTCCTTGCGCGCGATATTATTCGATTGTGTTCTCAGTGTGTGCCCGATCCATCCCCATTTTCTACTACATATTTGTTGAGCGATAGACTGTTGGTTGATTTGTTCCCAGAGTTTCTTGATACATAGCCCTTCCGGACATTTGACCTTGAGTATGGAGCGAAGGCAGCTGGTGATAAAAGTCTGCAGTCCTTTTGGTGACACGCAGTGCAAGTTTCCGACCAGTATGGCAGAATTGACTGACCGACTTTACATTGGTGTTGCAAATCCTATTTTCTGTATTGATACTGTTATATTATTTACACAAAATATACTTTATTGGAAGAATAATTAACCGGTGATGTGTCAGTCAAATGAGAGCTTTGTTTGACTAATTTAAAACACTGTTAGCACTTCAACAGTTGGAGTAGCATGGACAATGTTACTAAATGTCACTATCTACCAATAGTGTACACAATTGAAAACATCTGAAGATGTTAATTGCAACTTTTTACTTTTCGAATTATCAATAAAGACTTTATTGACTCCAAGAAAAATCTTAGTATCAAGTAACATGTTCTTGGAGAACCAATTCAAATCAATACACTTCTAAAGCCACATACTGCCTACTCTTAGGAACAATCAGGGTAAAAAACTGAAAACTTACTCACACTTTTAATGATTCATTCAGCTATTACCATCAAGTTTCCCTACATGCAAGTAATGCATAGGCTTTAAAAATAAATGGAATTAAAATTATTGCGTAATGAAACATTTCACACCAAATTTTAAAATATGTCGTGGAAGATAGTTTACTTATTGTCGGCTTTTTCAGGAAAAATAACACGAAGTGCGAATTTTCCATTATCTTGCCCTTTGTAGTTTTTGTCTCAAATCGAAGTACATAACCTTTTAGCTGTCACCATTATTGGAAAATATACTTAGCTCAGAATGAAGAAAGAAATAGATGTTATTATGAAGTTGAAAAGTCTTCTAGACAAACACAGCATGCATTTATTCTAGTGTATTAGATTGATATTTCCCACAAATTTAAGAGGAAAATGTTAATTAGCCCAACAGTTATTTTATGAACGAAATATTCCCACATTGAGTCATAAGAAAAAGGTGAAAACAGTGGAGAAAATTTTCTTTTCGCCGATTCATTTTCATAAACTGTTCAGTAGTAATTATATCTAACAAAGAAAGCATAAGACCAATCAGACACTGGTAAAATTCCCCCTCGAAAAACGTAATACTTAGTGTAAGGTGTAACTTGACTAATTGGAAGTTAGAAATGGGGCAGAAGTTGGCATGACGTAATAAATGTGAGATAGTGATTTATCAGTAAGCTCGTGCACAATGAACAGGAACTAATGGAAAGACAATAAAGTCTTTTTATATAAAATCGGTTTGAAAACGCAATGTTATTAATAAACAGCGATACAGTGATAATAAAATATGGATGTTCGGAATAATAATAATCAAATAATAGTAACAATAATAACAGAAAAGAGACAAAATTATAGTAAGTACTTTACTCTGGCCACAATAATGCGAGTGAATGTATGTAGCGCTTTTGAATGCAGAGGTCACGTTTCAGGACCCGAATAGCTTGTGATTCAGCTATGTACAGGTGGCATATGCGAAGTCCCTTTGTGTGATGTTGAAGCATTCATGAGGGGGTACTCAATGTCCAGAAATGACAAGGTGTTCGAGGATGGAGCTGCTACTATTCTTCTTTTCTCCTCTCGCTAACCAAGCTGGACAGTGTTCTAGGATATGTTTGTGGACTTAACGTTGCGTACGGCCGATATACTTCGCTCCACATGGGCAAATAAATTGATAAATATACAGTGAGGTGGCCAAAAACGGTATCTTATCCATAACGTTAGACTGGATTAACTGTCTGCTGTAGAATGTTATACTTAAGGTGGCTGCTTTTGTTTTTCCAAGGGGGTTTCATCAAGAGTCAAGATTCACTGGTAAGAGCATCGGAATCCAGGAAAATCTAGTCACCGATTTTTTCGTTCTCTTGCATCTCTTTAACACCTATAAGATTCAGTCGATACAATCAACCTGGATATCGATTAGCTTTTACACAATAATTATGATAGGCTCTTTCTGTAATGTTTAAATTTGTGTCAAACTAACCCTTCGAATATGTGAGCTAACTTAAGGTCATTTATTGTTTTCTGATAATTATGATGTGAAAAAGAAAGTGAGGAAGAAATACATGTTCAATATTGATTACAAAAAAATAATTACATGTAGACTGCTAAGCCCACATTTATTTACAGAGGTTCGTTTCCATGGTGAGATTTTGTTTTCTTTTCAAATTGAAGTTTGTAATGATAAATGTCTTATTTTCAGTATTTGTTCATTTAGTTAGTTTTTCTCTATTCTGTTTGCATTCTCATACAAACAATTGTATAAATAAAAGGTAAAAGTGAAGCAATAATGATAATAATAATAGTTGATGGATAAACAACTAAGGTTATCCATCATCTTTTGTTTGTATCAGTTTAAAACCATTCTTTATCAACAGCATTTAGAATGAAATCGTTTAATTCCAATAAAAAAATGTTTTCAAGGGTTGATTTTTTAGGATTTGATTTGTTGTACGAATTTGACCACGGAATGATATCAGTTAGAGGACCATTGAAAACCGGGGAGTACTGGACAGCTGTTTTATCCTAGTTTGAGAATCATCTGTAGTGAGCACCCATCAACGGGTTTCGAACCTACGATC